CTGGTGCACTGATTCCTACAGGCAGAACCACAATAAAACCAGTTCCCAAACACTCATGAACAAAGCAGTATTAAGCTACCGTCATTTCTTTCACCATCGTATTGCCGATGTTTTTTACCTAGGATTTTGTTACACGTTTTTATGTAACAACACACTCTCCTTTGACCAAAACTTTAGTCAAGGCTCTCTGAGTCCTCTTCTTGACTAGACCCAAGCTTGGGCTTTCCTCTCTCTTTCTGGAGAATCCAGTTTGAGCAAGAATCCTCCTAAGTCAGTTTATTGAAAATTCCCCATCCTTGGTATCTGACCTTGGGTATCTTGTCACCCTGGCCTGCCTTCAGCAAGAACCCATCAAGTCAGTTTACTCAGAAACCCCCTATCCTCAGCACTTTCCATCCACTGACCCTGCTACTGAATTACGAGTCCACTTGCCCTTGTTGTTAGAATTGAGTCCAGTTTTTCTCCCCCATGGCAAGACCCTGCTGCCATGGTTCCTATACCCATCGCCATGGCCTCCCCCTTTGAATAAAGTCGCCTTACCATCTTTAGCAAGCATCATGAATAGTTTTTTCTTGGAGTGTTCCTGAAACCACCAATGCAAAATTATAACTGGAACAGCGAAAGAGATCTGACCTAACCAACTCCATCTTCTAACCTCCAAGCTGTCCTCGTTCACTCCTGGGTGTAGACTGAACTAACTTTGGGAGGAATTTAGTTTATTGTTTGTAGTTGGAAACCTCTCCCCAAAACCAACCCCCTTCTTGTCTGGGGACTGGACTGCCTTTGTAGGACTAACAAATTGGCTGCAAGATTAGAAATTATGGTTTAAGAGTCATGCAAATGGAAGCTATAAGATTTTGACCCTCCACAAACCACTCCTAGAATCAGTGCTTGAGATATTTTGCAGACCCTGCACTTGATGGCACCACCTAGACTGAGAAACTGGCTCATCTGATCTTGTGGCCCCAACCCAGGAACTGACTCAGCACAAGAGGACAGTTTCAACTTCCTACAGTTTCATCTCCAACCCAACGAATCAGCACTCCGGATTTTTACTGGTTTTCCTCCCACCCACCAAATTATTCTTAAACACTCCGATCCCTGAATGCGGAGGGACTGATTTGAGTAATAAGAAAACTCCATCTTCCACATAGCCAGCTCTGTGTGAATGACTCTGTCCCCATTGCAATTCCCCTGTCTTGATAAATCAGCCCTGTCTGGGCATCCAGCAAGGTGAACCCACTGGGAGGTTACATTCCTAACACAAAGAAACCATAAACACTTCAGGAGATGGAGATTCCAATTACCCTGCCTGCATCACTACACACTGTATGCTTGTATCAAATCATCACCTGTACCCCATAAATATGGACAACTATTATATACCCATAATAATTTTTAAGTTTTTAAAATACTTTTAAATATGTCTTAATGCATTAGTAGCTTTACTGAGTGTAAAACACAAGTCTGCAAGTTTTTTCTACACGTTTTTTGGAGGCTTGCTTTCTCTATTATCCACGTGGGCAATACCCTCATAATCACTAAATACAAGAGACAATTCTCAATCCTCTTTTTACCATTTGACTGTACAAACACCTCCACCTTGAGCTCCTGACTCTCTCCCAGTTCTTTTTGTACTTTTTGACTGATCTTTCTCGTGTTTTTTTTTTTCTTCCCACCTCTTATTGCAGTTATTTCCTTAGATTTATCCATAAACAGTCACTTTTTTTGTCTGATTGATCTCTTTCATGGCTCCTGCCTTCTAGAAAGATACTCAAACAATAGTCCATGGATTAGTTGCATCAGAATCAATCAAGGTACTTGTTAAAAACACAGCTTCCTGGGGCCACTGAGATTAAAACTTCTGAAACTCAGAATTTTAACATAATTTGAAGGAAAGAATCATAATGAAGGAGCTCCAAAGGATTTTGGGTAGAAGATAGTCCAATGATCACTGTTCTAGAAGATGCCATTTATATTTATTTCTTTAGTCAATCCTGAGGGTTTCCTAAGCTCTAGCCCACTCATTCTAACAGTTTACTGGTCACCCCAGCTATATTTCCCTCCCTCAACTCATCCTAAACCTGCAGGAACTATGTATGTCCTTTATGTTTCTTATATTCCTTTAATGACACTATTTATAACCACCACATATAGCCACCCATGCTAGAAATCTGATACCTACGTCTTCTCTTTCTCACCCCTGCATCTAGCTGATAGCATAATCCTGCTGACCAGGTCTGTGAAATATCATCTGAATCTACCCGGTTTTTCACTTACCGCACAGTGACCATTTACTTCACACCTTCATCTCTTTCTCATGATACTGTAATAGTTTTTAGACTTGTCTAACACCCTGATTCTCTTATCTCTGATCCATCCTGTACATCCCTATGAATCATCATTCTAGGGCAGCACTGTCTTCCTGTGATGATGGAAATGCATTGTCCAATATGGTAGCCCCTACCCTCAAGTGACCATTGAGAACTTCAAATGTGATCGGTGTCAGCGGAGGACTGCATTTTAAATATAATTGAATTTAAATTCATATAGTTGGCCTGGTGAGATGGCTCACACCTGTAATCCCAGCACTTTGGGAGTCAGAGGCAGGCAGATCATCTGAGGTCAGAAGTTCGAGACCAGCCTGGCCAACATTGTGAAACCCCATCTCTACTAAAAATACAAAAATTAGCCACCGTGGTGGTGTGCACCTGTAGCCCCAACTACTCAGGAGGCTGAAGCAGGAGAATCACTTGAACCTGGGAGGCAGAGGTGGCAGTGAGCCAAGATAGCATCATTGCACTCCAGCCTGGGTGACAAAGTGAGACTCTGTCTCAAATTAAAAACAAAACAAAACAAATCAAAAAATTATATAGCCACTTGGATCTAGAGGCTACCATATTAGACACCACAGTTCTAAAACATGGGTCTTTTCTTATCTCATTGCTTTCAAAAAGCTCGTTAGCTGCAGGATGAGGTCTAGACAGTAGTATGAATCACCTTCATAATTTAACCTCCTCTGTAGTTTCTACCATCACCATCTACCTTACCATCCCATTCCCACATATACTCTAATATGGTAGAACCTTGCTTTTTCTAAGCAAGCCATAATTTTTCGATCTTCCAGCTCTTGATCCTGCTGTTTCCTCCATGTTTGACCTATTTTTCAAGGTTTATTAAAGAAAGCTGTGCCCCCACTCCCAACAGAAGGAACATCCCCTTATCATGGACCTTGGACAAGCCATTTAGCATCTCTCAGCCCAGTTTTCTCATCTGTAAAGTGGGAATGATAACAGTTCCTCTTTTACAGAGCTCTTGGGGGACTAGATATTGCATTATTCAGATTCCATCACTAAGAAAGCCTGCAATAAAAATAGCTGTTATTATTTTCTGTCCTCCTGTCACATTTATCATGTGGTATCAGGCGCCTTTCCAGATAAGACTCTCTCCCCTCAAGACTGTGAGCTTGTTAGCAAGAAAGCCTCGATCTTGTTCATGTTTGTCCTTCAGCATCTGGCACATTGTTGCCATTTGACAAATGCCTTGGCTGGGTGGCAAACAAATAACTTAGCCAGTTACTCACATAGGATTGCATAGAATTTTTTTGTAAGTATGACATTTTCGTGTATATTTTTAGGGAGGAGTAAAAAAGTAGCAAGAATTAGAAAAAAAAGAAGATGCCAACAACTTCTCTTTTTAAGCATCAAATGTTTCTCATTACTGCCCAGAAAAACTGGCATAAGCTGTTGTTAAATCTGTGTCCCTTCTCCTCGCTTGACTGGAGTTCGAGTTTTAACATTTTGCCATTCTGACTTTCCTTTCTGGGCCCCCTGGGTCCTATCCTCTCACCCCATCCCTAGGTACTAAGTTTTCATAATTGTCACCACGGCAACAGCAGGGATGCCCCATTCCTCACAGCTCCGCACAGCTAAACTCTGGTCGCCTTTGTCCACTGAGCTAGCTGCGCCACTAAATCAACTATCTTCTATACAGAACTTCATCCATTATTCAACCTTAAGGAAAAAAAAAATTGATGTGTACCAATTTCTTCTTCTGGTAATGGCCTTTTTCCAGACCTGCCAATACTCTTGAATGAACCAGACATTTTTGGTCCCTAGGAACAAATATAAAAATTGTCAGTGTACGTGTGACCAATATAAGTGCGGTGTAATTTTAAAGCACGCAACAGAGCATTCATAATGGGTTTCCCTTTTAAAAGCACAGTAGACCAAAAATAAACCTGACAAAGGGCAGCTGTAGAGTTTTAACACGTGGAAAACTCCACAAGCAGCAGTTATGTAACTTGAAAGAAACATGATAAATATTTCACACCATTAGATGAACTTCCAACTCTGACACTGAAATGAAAAGCAAAGAACACGAAACGAACGCACCTCAAATCTCCAAGGAGCAAAACGCTTAAACTGAAAAGGGACAGAGTCTGTGCTAAAATCTGAGCCCTGACTTCCAGCACTAGTCTTGATGGCTTTTTTTTGTCTCGAGTCCGAGGCGGAGCCCGCGAACCCCATCTCCTCAGAGCGCCACCCCCTCAGCTTCTCCCGTTGGGCAGAAATTTTCCGATTTTCTCCACCCCTGGGCTGAAAAGCCAGAAGAAGTTCTGAGCCAAGGAGGGGAAGAAAGGAGTTGGGGCAAAGCGGGAGGCGTTTCCTCACCCGCACACACCCCCGTCCCCCAGACACCCAACCCCCCACCCCGCCCCCCAGCCTGCCGCGCCTCCCGCCCCCGGCTCCCCGCCCTAGGGACAGCTGGCAGCCCCGCGCGGACCAGACACAAAGCCGATCAATCCCGGAGGCGTGGGGGCGGAGGGACGACCCGCCGCCGCTCTCCCGGGCGCTGCTCTCCTGCTGCTACCCCCTCGCTAGGACCCGGCGGACGCCTCGCCTGGTTTTCACGCCCTCAACCCCCCACTCCCACACCCCCAAAAAAGGACAGACCCCCATCCCTGGGCTGGAGAACCCGCCTCTTAGCAGCCAGCTGAGAAGGCGCCCGGGGGGGGGGGCGGGAAACTAACATCCCATCTAGAGCCGTCCCTCTCCTTCCTCCCCTCCCCGACTCTCTGCTCCTCTCCCGCCCCAGAAGTTCGAGGGCCCCCGGCCTCCTGCGCGCCTGCCGCCGGGACCCTCGACGTCGTCCGAGCAGCCGGCTCCGGCCCCGCGAAGATGGCGAGGAGCCGCCACCGCCTCCTTCTGCTGCTGCTGCGCTACCTGGTGGTCGCCCTGGGCTGTAAGTTGCTCGGGTTCCTCTGCCCTTGCACCCACTCCTGCCTGGACCAGCCTGCCCCCACCCTCCAGCCCCCCACGGGGCGCTCGCGCGCGGCGTCCGGGCGGCTCTGGGCCGAGGTCGCCGCGGGGCGTCTGACTTTGCGCCCCAGGGCGCCGGAGGGCGGACGCGAGGGGCAGGGAGCGCGAGGTCGTGGGCTTCCTGTAAACTGTGTCTGATTTCGTCAGTTCTAGATACAGAAAATTGAGGGTCCCTACTAGCGGGTTCTCAGCTGTTTGCAAAGTTGGGGTAAGTTTTCAGACAGAGGGACGTGATTCGAATGCAGAACTCACTACCCACGCGTAAGATGCTAAGATCCCAAGAAAGATGGCAACACCGGGAGGCGGGCGCCGGCCGCACTGCGAGCCCGGGGAGGGGGCGGCGTCCGCGTGCTCTGCGCTCTCTGGCGTCTCCGCCGAGCCCGCGTGGAGCAGAGCCCTTGTGCGGCGGGGGTGGGGAGTTCGTGGCTGCTGAGCCAGAATTACTTCTATCCTCTCCACCTGCACATCTACATTCAGTTAGAGAAGTCTGGTCTGGGGACTCTAGCCAGCTGCTGTGTCCTCAGGGGACGTCCAACGGGACGATTGTTAGAAAGATGCAGAAGCCACATGATCCAGTAGCTGGGGAGACGTCCCAAAGCCAATTTCACCGGATGATTTTAAACAGGATTTTCACGGATTCTGGGCTCATGAGATTTAAAATCCTGGGAACGTTGCCGTTATTTTGTTTTCTTCGCGTTAGCTTTTTAGGAAAATGGAAGAAATTACAATAGACCTTAAGCGATGCAGTTCTACTTTTGCTTTTTCTTTCTTTTTTCTCCCACCTTTTTTGGCTGGCTTGCTTTGCTTTGCTTTCTTTCTTTCTTTCTTTTTCTTTCTTTTCTTTCTTTTTTCTTTCTTTCGTAAAATGAGTTATTGTTGCTATTCACATTCTGGTGATGTAATACTTACAATACTTAACCTGCGGGACGAGCGCCTAATCTCTAATATCACAATACAATGGTATTTTCTCACACTCTCGCTGCCCAAGTGATCGTCGCATAGCTCAACTGATGTGAGCCACGTCCCTTTGTGGAGGAGGAAGGTGCACATTGTCTCCGGGAAGGGACATGTGCTGACCAATATTATATAAAGTCAAACCAGAAAGGCAGAGGTTCACAATGAAACCCTTGTGCAATTTTGAAATATCAACTCAGATACAGAACACACAGAGGAAAAAATGCACTCCTGCTAAAATGCAACAGAGAGATAGGCTGGAGATATTGTAACAGAACATCTGAGAAACTTATGTATTCTGCTGAAATCCTAAATTTCAAAGAGAAAATAGTGTGCCTTTTAGTGTAGAATTGTCACTAATTAAAAACAAAATCGTTCTGCTCTGCTATTCCTATTGAGTCACCAACATAGAAACAATACAACCTAAGTTTGACATTGTAGTGAAGAAACAACCAAGAAGCAAACAAAAGAATAGTTGAATGGGCCTGAGTGAGCTCTTCAGGCTTTAGGTAAATATAACACACTGGCTGTGTTAACCTGGATTCTTAGAGGGGATAAATTTGAAAGTGTTGTGGGAGCTTTCCTATATTGTTTCTGAGATACCAAAAGATCTGGCATTGCAAGAGTGTTTTCTTTGTGTGTGTGTGTGTGTGTGTGTGTGTGTGTGTGTGTGTGTGTGTTTAATGTTTAAAACAATTTTAGAATAATTTGGATTTAAAGAAAAATTCCAAAGCTAGTATAGAGAATTCCCACATACTCCACACCCACTTTCCCCTATTGTTAATATCTTTCATTAGCATAGTACACTTCATTCAGATTTCCTTCATTCTTACCAAATGCCTTTTCTATTCCAGATATGGAATAGCCACCCAGGCTATCATATTACATGTATTTGTCATGGTTCCTTAGGCTCCTCTTGGCTGTAGCAGTTTCTCAGGCTTCCCTTGTTTTCTCTTACTATGACAGGTTTGAGGAGTATTGGTCAAGTATTTGGTAGAATGACCAGCAGTTGATGTTTCTCTGATATTTTTCTCATGACTAGATTGGGGTTATAGGTTTTTGGGAGGAAGATCAGAAAATGGTAAGGGGCCTAGGTAAAGTGATGTTTTCATCACATCATCTCCAGGGAACATACTATACACAGGATTTGTTGCTGTTGATGTGAACCTTGATTACCTGTAATCACACTCACCGTGTAGTGCATACCAGTTCTCTCCGAAGATCACCTACCCTTTTTTCTTCATTTCCATGCTAGATTTTTTTGGAAGGAACTCACTACATGCAACCCACACTTCTTCAGAAAGGTGTGCTCCATCTCCTTGAAGGTGGTGTATCTTCATAAATTATTTGGAGCTCTTCTGCATGGGAGATGTGTCTCTCCCTTCCCCTCATTTGTTTATTTAATCATTTACTTTTTTATCAGTATGGGCTCATGAGTATTCACTTTATACTTTGGCTTACAATACAATACTCTTTTATTTAGTAAAGACTTAGTGGATTTCTTATGCTGTTATTACATATTCGTCTTTTCAATATTCTTCCCAGATGGAAGTGTACCACTCTTTTGGCCACTCCTCTCATGTACAATGTCATGCTTACTCCCTTCTTTCCTTTTGTTCCTGCTGTTTATCAACATTTTTTATATCTTTCCGAGTAGTCTGGAGGATTGTTTTTTGTTGCTGTTCTTTTTATTTAAACTGTGATGTCAGTATCCCTGTGGATATATGGACATTTTCTTGTGTGTGTTTAGTTGAATTATATTTTTCTTTCCCACTCCACTGGGAAAGGAATTTCTTGATGTTTACCCACCACTGTATATCCAGAGCTGAGCAAAGTTCCTGGTTAATAGTAGGGATAAATACATGCCTGTTGATTCTATAGTATCTTAGTCCATTCCTGCTGTAACAAAATACCATAAACTGAGTAGCTTCTAAACAACATTTATTTCTCACAGCTCTGGAGGCTGAGAAGTTCACAATCAAGATACCAGCACATTCAGTGTCAGGCAAGGACCCACTTTCTGGATCATAGATTGAGCCTTCTCAGGGTGATCACCCACAGTGGAAGAGAAAAGGCAGCTCTGAGGTCTCTGTAAGGGCACTGTTCTCATGACCAGATCACAGTCCAAAGCCTTCAGCTCCTACCATCACATTGGTGATTAAATTGCAACATATGAATTTGAGGAGGGGGACATAAATCATACCAGATGGAATGTGGATGAGGCAGGGTAAGTAAAAAGAAGTGTATGGATTGAACTGATTGCAATATAAATCATGAAGCTCTAACTTCATGTTAAGTAGAGGGGATGTCAGACTTCTTTGAGCCATCATTTAAGCTGATATTTGAAAAAATAATAGGAATGAGTATTCCGTGTTTGGTGGGGTGTTGTTATGCTTTTTGGGGTCTCTCAGAGCCTACGAGCTAATCATAAATGAGAGCAGTTCCTGTTTCTACCTAGGCAGTAGCAGCTGGTCCTCAGATCTGGACTGGAACCTGATCCAGGCGCTTAGCCTAAGTCTAATCTCTCATCAACTGATAAAGATTGTGGTGGGAGAGAGGTCTGAATCTTTTGTAAAATCACAAGGCTCTGCCTTTTTGCCAGAACTGACCCAAAACAGCATTCCAGGGAACCAAGACCAGGAAAATTCTGCCCTCTGTATCTATTATTAAGAAACAACTGTCATAATCAATTTGCTGGAGAGAACTGGTTTCATGCTGGCATAGTCTTAATTATCTGATGAACAGAGAGGTTAAAAATGGGCATGTAGGTGGATTTTACAACCATTTCAAGACTATGAAAGAAATTATATTAAAAAGAACGAAGTTAAAAACAAAAACTTCAGCCTGAGCAGCACAGTGAGTTCCCTATGACTGAGGACACTCATTTATCCTCCCACATGAGCAGTTTAATGAGAGAAACCCTTGGGAGCTTACAAATGTTCACCACCCATAGTTTCCATTGCTTTGATTTCCTTCTGTGAGTTTTCTCCAGAGAAGACGTATCAGAATATAGAGGTAAGAGCTGTTAATTTTATTGAAGTCAGACTACCAGGAAGCTATAAAGGCCATTGCTTAAAATATTTTTTCATCCCATAGTAATATAGTAGTAATACTGCTGAGTCAATACTCCAGTTTACCCCTCTTGATAGATTGATGTTTTGAGGAAGATGATGGTGAGGATGGAAAAGGGGAATCAGAACCTGGGTCAGGTGCTTCCTTTGGCAAAAGCAGTAAAAGAAAACTTAAAACCATATGCTGTTTTCTTGGACAGTATTACTGTTAATAAGGCTAGAACTCAGAAAAATAATCCAACTGTATTACTTTTCTATTGCTGTGAAGCATGGCCATAAACAAAACAATACAAATGTATTGTCTTAAAGTTCTAGAGGTCAGAAGTCTGAAATAGGTCTCAGTGGGCTGAAATCGGTATCGGCAAGGAGCATTCCTTCTGGATGTTCTAGGGCAGAATCTGTTTCCATGGCTTTTCCAGCTTCTGGAGGCTCCCCACGCATGGCCCTGTTCCGCCAGCTTCTAACTCTGTGACGCCAGGCTGCCACCTCTCTAGTTTTCTCTCTTCTGCTTCCTTCTTCCACTCATCAGGACCCTTGTTATTACCTTGGACTCACCTGAGTAATACTTACTCATTTCAAAGTCAGCAGGTTAGCAACTTTCATCCATCTACAACTTCAATTCCTATTTACCATGTAAAGTAAGATATTTACAAGTTCTGGAGAGTAGAATGTCTATTTTTATGTCTATGGCTATTATTATGTCTCTCACACCAGCTAAAATGAGGTTATGCCCAGCAACAGTGTTTTCAGTGTTGTACTCAAGAATATTCTAGATCCCATGAAGCCACCATAACTTTTACTTTTAAAGTACAACTCATAGTGATATAAAGCTGGTTGGTTGTTTTGTTTTGTTTTGTTTTGTTTTGTTTTGAGATGGAGAGTTGCTCTGTTGTTCAGG